CTTAGTACCGTTTTTAGTAGCTTTTTAGAATATATATTTATATAGTATAGCGTTAATTAATTTTATTAACTACTAAGCGAGGATTTTAATATACATATTAATAATATTATATTTATAAATTATAAATTACTCGTATTTAGTATTAAGCTCTTATTATTTTTAAATACTTTTAAGCGTATAGATCCTTTTTATAGGTATAATATAAGGATAGATTTATTTATATAAAGTAAGTAATATAGCTAGTTTTATAAAAAGAAACTTAGCTTAGTTTTATAAATTACTCGTATTTAAAAAAGTCGAAAGGTTCGTATTAAGAGTTATATTTAAAAATTATTAATAAATGATTTCTTAGTTTTTTTAGTTATTTTTAAACGCTTTATAACGGGCTTAATAAGCTCGTAGTTTTTTTTTATTATAGGTCGTAACTAATTATCCGAATTTAGAGGGCGAAGTAAGTACTATAGAGGGGTTAAAAAATATATTAAAGTTTAGAGTGTTTAAATTAACGTACTTCTAGACCCCGACGCTCTTATTTATAATACGAAGTACGTTAAACTATTTAATTTAATTATTATAGTTAGTTAATTTAGCTTAGGCTAAAATAAATATAAGTAAATCGGTTATTTTAAAAAGATCGTAAAAATCGTATTAATAAATATATTATTATAGTATAAGGTCTTAATTAAGAGCTAGGCTTATAATTATTACGAGTTATAATACGTAGTAATAAGTATATAGAGTATAATAAAAGTAGCTTAATTATTAAAATAGAAATAGATAAAAGGAAAAGGTCTATATATACGATATTTAAAATAGATACGTAATTTAGTACGTGACGGGTACTTCGTGAGGTGCGATTACTATCCCTGTTACGTGATACTATATTACTCTTGACATCGCCCGAGATGGTGCGGTCTCGACGTCTCAAGAAGCCCTGTTGACGAGAGCGCCTTTCACTACGTGGCGACGAAGTCCCTGCCGGATGCGGGCGTTCAGAATGAATATGGCTGAACAAACAGGTCCCCGCCAGACCACCCGTCAGACGGTTATATCACGGTGTAAAGGGCAACAAAGACGACGGTAAAGCAAAGTAGTCGAATGAGCAGATGGCGTGTAGGATGGTGGAACTAATTTTCAGATCCGTCTAATGGCAAGCCGCGATCCGAAGGAGTGGTATGATGGACGACAGAAAACCGCCAGATGGGTTAGTCGCACAGGACAGGCCCCCGGAGGCAAGCAACAGGTACAACCAGACTCCACGAGAGGCAGAAGTGCCCGCAGATTGACCTCAAACACTTTGAAGTAAACTTTGGAATGGGAAGCTCTGTCACGCGCTGCACCGCATGGACTAGCATCCTGCACCAAACGTTTTGTTTCTCCCAATTGGGTTCAAGGTTTCTGCACCGGCGTCTGGCATGGCATTGCATCAGCCATAATGGGACTCGATTGGATATTACAGACACCGCTCTCGGTAGAGACGTTGCATGTTATGAAAGAGTTTTTTTTCCTCATGTCTGGTCTCGGGACTGGCCCTGCCAAAGGCGATTATGGTTCATGCAGGATCAAAGCAACATCGATGGGTTCAGGACTGCGATGGTAGACGATGTTTTGGTGTGTGATTGCTGATCATTGTGTTAACAGTGCCCATCGCTCTCACCCTCGTTCCTGGTGGGTAGGGGAAGCTGAGGGAGCTGAGGTGATGGAGGCTGAACATTGTTTTACACTCAAGATGCCAGACCTTCAAGCTGGCATTTATTTTCCGATAAGAAGGTTCTTTGATGATGGCGGCTGCGACAGGAGAGATGAGACGATATGGCCTGCAACACGCTGTATCACAGTTGCAAAGTTTCCTGCTTCTTTTCCAACGCCCATACTCAACGACATGTACAGCAAGGGACAAAAAGAGGCACAGTCGCGATGCAGTTGGAGACGGTGGGCAGTGGGTTTCTATGTCTTGCATAACCGAAGGTTACTAACTTTCGACCTCGGCACGTAGTGCGAGGCCGTCGCTCGATCGCGGCAGCTGGTGCAAACCACGGCGGCCGGCAGCGTGAAAATGCCCATGGCATTGGTGAGAAACGGGAAAGGCGTACTTTTGTATGGACTTAGGTGAGGATGGGCCCATGTCGGGCCTATATCTTTACATCGGCGAAGGGTTCATGGCTGGGCTCAGCCAATTCTTGCCCGGCACGCGCAGGTCTTGTCTCAGGCGGCAGGCAGGTTCTTCGGGTTGTGTCTCGCTACCGCTGAAGAATCGAACCGCTTAGTGAGCGTACTTGTCAATTAGCTCGCCAACTGACCCAGCCTGCTGTGGATAACATCTGTGGGCGAGTTCCTCAGCCTCGACTACCAAAGTCCGAAGACTTACTGTTTGACTTTGTCTGGGTAAGGTCCATCGCAGCCTACTACCTCAGCACGGTCTGTGGGGCAGGCTGATGTCTTGACTTCATAGGCTACGGATCCCTAGGTACGGACACCTACACTATCTGCTTGACTACGGATACCCAGTTGCAAAAGGATAGTTCCGTTTCATCTCGTCTCGTCTGTCAGTAGGCGGGCTGTCAAAACCAAATAAGCTGTTACATCTGACGGGTGGTGGAGAGATGATCTTTACTGTCTTGATCCGGCGACAACCGAGCGAGACATGGACGCTGTTGATTGCCGGTGAGCAGGTGGAGCAGGGAGGCGAGGTCTGTGGGGGACTGTTCGGATTTGACATGCCGTTCAGTATCAAGAAAAGCAGCAAGCAGCAAGCGAGAGACGCAGAGGAAGGGACAAGAAGCCAAAAGGAAAAGAGGGACAAAACCAAAGAGGTTTGGGCTGTTGATCCTGGCTCGCCACGTTTTCTGCAAAGGCACGTCGCACGTCGCACGTCGTACGCCGCATATTCCTTCTCCGTGCCTGTAGTATGCGTACAGCAGCGGATAGCGGATAATTCCCTCAGGGCTTGTTGACTCTGGGAAGTGGCCCGCAAAGCCGATGACGAAGGTCGGAGTGAAGCTCTGGACAAGGCTCAGTCCGAGAGCCCAGAGAACTCAGACTCCCGGTTCCAAATTCACAAGCATGAAATCCTGGTTTGGCTTCGTGTCGTCGGTAGCACCGGCCAACAGGTGCTCCCTTCGCGATAAGCGTCGTTGTTGGTGTGCAACGGACCGACTGGGCAGGAAGAGTTGGGCCGGCATATTATGGGGTTGACAGGCTGCATTCGTGAGACAGTCCGCGAAGGAAGGGATAGACGGTCTGGGAATCTCTGGGCTGTCAATCGTCCAGGTCGGATTGCTAATCGTTCAACCCAGAGCCATGGGAACATGGCATTTGCGTGCACCCGGATAATGGATCGATCCATGACTCTGGTTGGTATTAATACTGTTGACAATGTCGAATACGACGGACGTGCTCGGCCTGGCAGGGCAATTAAAGGCAAGGTCACGAATGTATTGTGCTGGTATTAAGACACTGATGTGGGCAGAGTCAGGAACCTGACTGACGCACTGACATGAACAGGATCGAAGTGCGTCTGGTGATGGTGAGAGAGATTGAGGAAATCTCGATGCTCCATTCAAAGTGCCATCTGGTGGGCTTTGGCCAACGAGCCAATAGGCCTCACCGTGAGTTGTCCGTGGTGCACTGGAAAATTGGAGCCCCGAATTTTCAAAACGAGGCCACCCCCGGAGCCACAAAAATTTTCTTGCAGCGCCTTTTTTTTTTTCTTTTTTTTTTTTTTCGCTCGCCTTGCCCGCACCAACGCTTGTTGACGGCGGGGGAGCGCGCGCGCACCTTCCATGGGTACTGGTACAGATTCTCTCTCTGCAGGCCCAGCACACACCGCACATCGGCAGGCCAACCACACAACACCTCTTCTCTCCCACGACGTCAACGCACATTTTGATATCAGACAATCTCAGCTTTTCCATCCTGGCTTTTCTTCGTCATATAACACCCCTCCCTTCTCAACTACTACGCCTGCACCAGCATCATCTATCTCGATTGCTTGTGCCTCTGCCGACCTGTCGATATCTACACAATCTACACAGTAGCCCTGCCAAACCCCCGTCTACCGTCAAAATGAGCGAAATTGCCCATCCTACCATCCAAGGTTCGTGCGGTCCAATCCCCGTCTTTCCATCCATCCATCCATCCCTCCCCTCCCTTACTCAAGCAGATCTCTGTCCGTTGTTGTGTGTTTGTCTGTTTGTCTGTCTGCCTTCCTGTCTGCGGCTGCCCGGCACCCGTCTGCTATCGTTGGCATTGGGCGTATGCTACTTATTACTCTGTCCTGCTGGTCGATGCTCATTACTGGCTCTTCCGACCTCTGTACGCACCCGTCTCAGAATACCCCGCCATACGAAAAATGTCTTGAGCACCCCGCCTGTCGTCACCCTGGGGCCCTTGGGAACCTTGGGGGGGTTTCTTCGCTAAGAGCCCACGCAACGGAAGACGGAGAATATCGCAACCGGGAAGCGGGCCCCCATGAGCGGCCTTGTCTCGTTCGTCCGTACCGCCCTTCATTGGCTCAATTGGCAGACGGACTTTGTGCCGTGCGGACTGCCTGCATCTGGTCAATCGTCAACGAAACCTCCCGCAACTATTGACGGGTGGCTTATCCGTCCTCTTCCGGGTCCCCTAAAAACACCTTCAGCCCTGGCTCCTCCACCGTCTGAGCGCGCATGCGCTATTCTTCATGCCACTTTCGGTTAAGCAATTCGTCAGGAGAAACCGAGAAACCTCGTCTCTTGGTTTTGCAGATCGTTTATTGAATACGGCATACCTCTCTTGCTGAGGTGACATTTGTACATTGCAAATATGCCGGCTTATGGCTGCTCCGGGCACGGCACTTTTCGGGATCGGCAATGACACAGAACACACAGACAGACTGACTGACAAAAGTGGATGCGACAAGATGATGCCCTTTTTTGGAAACAAATGAGATGAACGAGTCGAGACCGCGCGCTAACCTGATGAAATGATGTACAGATGGCTGGTTCCGTGAGATCTCCAACATGTGGCCCGGTAAGTCACCCACACCCCCTCAACTCAAGCATCGTGAGGATGAGAGGACGCCGGGCATGCTGACAACCTGCCACAGGCCAGGCCATGACCCTCAAGGTCAAGAAGGTCATTCACCACGAGAAGTCCCAGTACCAGGATGTCCTCATCTTCGAGTCCACCGACTACGGCATGGTCCTGGTCCTGGACAACGTCATCCAGGCCACCGAGCGTGACGAGTTCTCCTACCAGGAGATGATTACCCACCTGGCCATGAACTCCCACCCCAACCCCAAGAAGGTCCTCGTCATCGGCGGCGGCGACGGCGGTGTCCTCCGCGAGGTCGTCAAGCACGAGTGCGTCGAGGAGGCCATCCTCTGCGACATTGACGAGGCCGTCATCCGCCTGTCCAAGCAGTACCTCCCCAACATGGCCGTCGGCTTCGACCACCCCAAGTCCAAGACCCACGTCGGCGACGGCTTCAAGTTCCTCGAGGAGTACAAGAACACCTTTGACGTTATCATCACCGACTCCTCCGACCCCGAGGGCCCCGCCGAGTCCCTCTTCCAGAAGCCCTACTTCCAGCTCCTCCACGACGCCCTGAGGGAGGGCGGTGTCATCACTACCCAAGGTTGTACGTTCCCATTTGTTCAGGAATATCGAGGGGAATCAAGGAAGTCTCGGGTCTCTGAAGAAAAGACAAGACAACGCCGCAGACACCGCTACTACCGAGTAGCGTTGCCTGCTTCTTCATCTTTCTTTGGGCCTGTCCTCGATTCTCCCTACGAGATACCGGTATATTGCCCAGTGGCATGCCGGTGAGACTGGGTTGTGTGAACCTGGATACGCTTTGAACTCTCCTTTGTCTATTCTTTCAAAGTGTTGCGCCTACTCGAGACTGTTATCCTCCTTCCTCCCCCTTTTCTGTCGGCGCTCATTCAGCCTGACTCTCTGTCGGAAGGCGCTCTTGATTCTTAATTCTTGACGACTCTACTGTTAAATCTAGAGACCAGGACCAGCTAACAGCATACACCAAACAGCCGAGAACCAGTGGCTCCACATGCCCCTCATCTCCAAGCTCAAGAAGGACTGCAAGGAGATCTTCCCCGTCGCCGAGTACGCCTACACCACCATCCCCACCTACCCCAGCGGCCAGATCGGCTTCATGGTCTGCACCAAGGACGCCGGCCGCAACGTCAAGGAGCCCCTCCGCAAGTGGTCCGCCGAGGAGGAGGAGAAGCTGTGCAAGTACTACAACGCCGACATCCACAAGGCCGCGTTCGTCCTGCCCAACTTTGCCAAGAAGGCTCTCGAGTAAATGCTGCGTGCGTGTGAATGTAAAGCAAACCACGAAAGACATGGATTCATGAACTCATGGGGAGAATGTTTGGCGGGAATGTCAATAGATGGGAACCCAAAAAAAAGTTTTTAGTCGTAAGACGCAGAGGTTGACTCTAGCGTTGCTCAATATATTTTGTTGAGTCCAATATGTTCTGCCCTGTAACCAACATCACAAGTGATTCTATGTTGAGATAACTCCGTGTCCCTTCCGTCGGGTGCCTGTTGTCGCCAACTCCGTGTAAATCTTTTTGCTCCTTTTCTCATCCAATGCCATGAGTAATCCGCATCTTCTCTTTCTCTCTCTCTCTCTCTCTCTCTCTCTCTCTCTCTCTCTCTCTCTCTCTCTCTCTCTCTCATCCGCAGACGATTTCCGTTCCTCTCTCTTGATCCCATGAGACTCCCGCCCCAACTCATCATTTCCCTTCTTTCACCCTCTTACCACCCTCTTCATTCTAATCACTTCATCCTATCTCCCCGTCTTCATCCTCATCATCTTCTTCATCCTCATCCTTATCCTCATCTTCACCCCCCTCTTCACCCTGTATCTTCATCTCCACCCCTACCAATCACAACCCCCCGCAAGCAACCCAGCAAGCCTCTCCAACCAAACCCGATCAACCTCATCGAACCCGTCTCTCTCCGCACAGTCCACGTCAATAATCGCCACCAACTTGTCCTCGACGACGATCGGCACGACGACCTCGCTCCTGCTATCCCCATCACACGCAATGTGCCCCGGGAAGGCATCGACGTCGGCCACGAGCTGGGTCTGGCGCGTGGCGGCGGCGGCGCCGCAGACGCCGCGGCCAAAGGGGATCTGTTGGCAGGCGACTTTGCCCATGAAGGGGCCCAGGATGAGGGATCGTTTGGCGGATGAGGGTGAGGTCGAGGTGGAGGGGTCGAGGACGTAGAAACCTGCCCAGTTTACTGCGTTTGAGGGGGCGGGGAGGGAGTGGTATGCGTGCCAGAGGAGGGAGGCCGTGTTTGCGAGGTTGCTGTCGATGTAGGAATGTGAGGTTAGTCTCTTTTGGTTTTTTCCTCACGCTTTGTATCACGTCCCGGAAATGAGGACGAGGATGGGAGAACGGCCTTGCTAGGGGTCGAATGTTTAGACTTACGCAACCTATGAGAAAGTTAGCCTGAGATTCTAGTCGAGTATGATGGTATTGCAATGTGTATGAGTTTGAAGAGGTGAGGGATCAGATGGAGAGATTGAGAGAATATGTATGTGAGGTGCGGACTATGTGAATACGGGAGTGGAAATAAATAGGCTTACCCAGTTTCTTTGGCCGTCGAGGAGGCCTTCGGCTTGGATGAGGACCTGCTCATAGGCGTCCTCCTTCGTCACGCCATTGGCGAAGTTTGACGCGTCGGCGTGGACCTGTCGGTTTCACACTCGTCAGTATACACCGATAGAGTAAGGTAAGATAGGGCTTAGGAGATTTTGGTAGTGCGCTCAAGGGATATGAGATGTGCTCACCATTATTGCCGGAAGATCTACGGTATTGAGTACAAATGAGAGTGCGGGGATAAGCCAAGCTCAAAGCTATCTTCCCTGGGTAAAGTAGGTAGGGAAGTCGAGGCTAGGTTGGTGAGTCAATATGACCAAGCATAGATGGGTTGTTGAGTTGAGACGGGAAATTGTGTGTTGAAATCCTCTGGTCCAATCACGTCATTTCCTTCTCGGTGAGCTACACCTCCACACCTCGGTGAGTCCAATTTCCTCTCCCTTCGGACCCGAGTTTTTTTTTGTCAGCAACCCAAAGAAAAAAAAAAAAGTGTTACATTCCCGCCCCGGCCCTAAAGGTCTTTGATGGAGAAGACGGAGGAATCGAGGTGCCATCGGCCGGCTCTGAGTGGAGAAGGTCTGCCTTTCGCACTTGATGAGTTCCGAGAAATGGTCTTTTTCAGGTCCGATCCCGTTTTGTCGCTCTCCGATCGCTGGGCATCTATCCCGCTCAGAAACCGAGCGTGCCGACTCCCATGACGGCTACGAGAATGGAAGGGTAGCACGGCACCACGCTAATATGCTCGTGTATGGTGAGGAAGCTACGTGGTTGGCGCAGACCGGCTACGCGGGCGGGCGGGCGGCGGGATATCTAGGTATAGATCGATCGACATGCATGCGCGAGGGAAACGTGATGTTGAAGCGAGCCGAGGAGCAGCCATTCCCGGTTGATGATTGTGATTTGTTCTCAGAGTACGAACGTCCCCTACAAGCCTAGTAGGCTGTAGTATCCAAGCTTGCTGAGGTAGGAATCTAGGTCGGGGGTCGGATTCGGATGAAACTCCGTCCATGATTTCATTCTCCGCCAACCCCGCGTGCCCACTGGTGTGACAGCTCCCTTTTGCAAGCTCAGTTTAGTTGAGCTGAGGTTAGCTCTGCAGGAGCTTGAGGTGTTTTGGGACCTGAGGTAGTCTCTATAGAATATAGAGATAACGTCCTTCCCGCCTTGGTCTCTACTCTTCCTTTCACTGCGTCAAACATTGCGGGCACCTTCGTTTTTCGTACATTTAGTCAACTTGCAATTGACCCTCCGGCCTACACCAGAAGCTGTCGCATCAAGGGAGAGCTCAAATCTACCCAACGCGTATCTCGCCCCGTCCATAAGGCAGGCAGCTTTCCCCCGAATAACCAAAAACTTGACCTCTTCACTCTCCACCAATTGAGCAACACATCCAACTTACTACATGGACACAATGTCGTCGGAACCGCGACAACACCAGGCCCCCCGCTTCTGCGCCGACTGCTTCAAGGGCACACTCCGCGGCGACACCGAGCTCAAGGGCACCGTGGAGACCGTCTACGGCCTGCCGACGTACGTCGCGCGCCCGGAGCCGGGCCGCGGCGAGCCCGCGGGCGTCGTCGTGATTTTGCCGGACGCAATGGGCTGGGAGCTGCAGAATACGCGCGCGCTGGCGGATGCGTATGCGAATAGGATCCCGGCGGTTGTGCTGCTTCCTGAGTTGATGAATGGTGAGTTTTTTTTTTTTGAGAAGGGTCATTCTTTCTTTCGTTGGGTAGTTTTGCTTTGTGGGACTGCCTTTGGCTTCTACGTTGTAATCACTCGTCCTTAGCCTGACTGTCTTGGTGATCGGTGTAATGTCCCGGGCGAGCAGGCAGAGAAGGAAATGGGTGGGACATCATGATGCTCAGGCCGCGATGTCGTGAACTCTCATGCGCCCCTCTATGTCACGAACCCACTGACACCATGTGTAACCAAAAAGGCTACGCCATCCCAGCGACCGCACTCGCCATGACCGACAAAATGGAGGCCGAAAAGTCGTGGTGGAGAAAATACTTCGTCATCGCGCCCGTCATGGTCGCGACGATGCTGCGCTACTTGATCCCCCTCGTCATCGCCACCCGCTCCAGCGTCGTCGTCCCGCGCATAGAGAACTACCTCCGCGCCGTCCGCCTCTCGCCGCCGTCTCCCCTCCCCCCCCGTCCATCCACCTCAACGTCCTCCTCCGCCGGTGAGGCATCCGCCAAGAAAGATACCAAAATCGGCGTCGCGGGCTTCTGCTGGGGCGGAAAGTTCACCGTCCTGCTCTCCCAGCTCGCCGCGGGACCGTTTGGCGGTGAGAGGCTCGTCGACTGCGGGTTCACGGCGCACCCGAGCTTCCTCACGTTGCCGGGCGACCTGGAGAAGGTGGTGCTGCCGCTGAGCGTGGCGAACGGGGACGACGATATGATGATGCCGCGGGCGCGGATGGCGGAGGCCAAGAGCGTGCTGGGGAAGAAGGGGGAGGACTTTGAGATTGTGGAGTACGTCGGTGCCACGCATGGGTTTGCTGTGAGGGGGAACCCGAATGATCAGCGGCAGGCAGAGTTCGGGATGAGGGCGGAGGATCAGGCTGTCGGGTGGTTTCGGCGGTGGTTTGGGCTTGGTGCTTGAGTGAATGGGTGAGGGACGGGACGGGATGGGTTGAAATGGGACCAGGAATGGTTGATCGAGATTGGTTTGACGCGGGTCGCCTTTCCATCACAGTTCTAATGTAGCTGCAAGTCTTCTGTCCGTTATGTACGCGGGGGCTCAAAGCGATTATAGTAGGTTCCGGTCATGATAGGACTGAGATCGAATCCAAGCTTGCTCATGTCGCGAGGTTCACAACCTCCTCTTGATACCATTCATATGTGAGTCCCAAGTACGTGGGAGGCATGGGAAGCTCAAGTAACTCCCAGCTAGTTGAAAAGACAACAAAAGATCTTTGAACAAAAAACCACTAATTCCACAATATCCAACGGCCACAAAGCACAACTCAAAAACACGCCCACGCAACCCAACATCGCTCTCAAGCAAAATCAAGATATCGTCAACAGCCAAAAAGGCAAAAGATTTGGTTCTCCCCTTCCAGAATCGAACTAGAGACCTTTCGATGACAAGAGATGAACAATTACAGTCGAACGTGATGAACCAACTACACCAAGGGGAGTGACCAAGGCTGAGCCTTGCTCGGTGTGAAAGTCGGGCGCGAAAAAATGCCTCAAGAAGTGTTTGCGTTGACCCACAGAATGATCCGCAATTCTAGGGTTGTGATTTCGGCTCTCTGCAGATAGACCACTTTCGGTCAGCGACCTAATTGGGCACGTACGGGCTTGTCTGCGCAAAAGCAGCATGATTGCCATAAAGAGACTCTTGTAACTCTTCATTTGCGACAATACAGAGTGACAATTGCGGCGGTTTCTCTCAATGTCTGTTTACAAGCTCGACAACTCACTAGAATAGCAGACTCGCAGCACTAGGGACTCTTCGGTTGGCCTGGCTTGTCGAAACAGCTATATATACACCAAAAGTCGAGCAATCAGCGCAGGCAAAAACTGGAAACGCATACGCCGAAGTTTTACTAAAAGCTGTCTGGTGGTGAGCCGATATTGTTAGTTTCTCTCGAATAAAGCATGTCTATGAGTAAGGCTGCGAGCAGTCTGGTTCGAGGTAGACAAGTAGGCACAACATCGGAAAGAAGCTTTCGGTTGCAGCACGTGGAAACGTTCGAAGACCATACTCAAAGAGATGAATGATCACCCCAACAATCCAGCTCGACTGTCCAATAGCCAGAACTGAATAGTCACGCCAAGGGGAAACGGCAAAGCTTGATTCGGCGAGAGCGGCCGCTCCCCGGACCCGACGCGGTGGGTGGAGTTGCGGATGGGGCCGAGGCAAGGGGTCAAGCACGCCGATAAGCGATAAGCTTGTAGGTGTAATGAGTGACGAAACCAATTGCCCATTTTTCTTTAATTAAAATCGATATTTTGGCCATGCCCTTTGGCGTCCCGCGCGACCCGGTCCGAACCCCCCCTTCACGAACCTCAAACTCGCAACCTTCAACCCTGAAGTTTCCCTACTAACCGCAACTTTTCTCACACGTCTCATGCAATGAACCACGGCACGACGCTGCGCGCCCTGCGCGCTCCGTCTTCCCTCTGCAACAGCAGCAGCAGCCCCGTCCACACATCCTTCCTCCTCACCTCGATCGCGCGACAAGCGACCCCCTACCGTCGGCTAGCGAGCTCCCTCACGCCCTCCGAACCCTCCTACTCCTCCACCGCGAACAGAGACAAGGTCAACGCCATCGCCTCCTCCCGCCCAGCGGCCCTCGAACTCCCCGAGAAGAAACCCGACGCCTCAAAATTTGGCCACCTCATCCAGACGGGCAAAGCCTACATCAAGTTCTACAAGACGGGTCTCAAAGCCGTCTTCTCCAACCGCCGCCACATCCAAGACGTCATCCGCGCAAAGAGCACCTCCGTCGAAGGCTTCCGCTCGCCTTCCGTCTTCGCGCCGGGCGTCATCCCCAAGGGCTTCTCGCGCGCCGACTGGGTGCTCCTCTGGCGCGTGCGCCACGACGTTCTCCGCGTGCCCCTGTTCGGTCTCGTCCTCTTGGTGTGTGGGGAATTCACCCCGCTCATCGTCATCTTCGTCGACGGCGTCGTGCCGTACACGTGTCGCCTGCCGCGGCAGATCGACGCCAGCTTCTCGCAGGCGGAGGAGCGCCGGCACAAGTCGTTTGCCGACTTTGAGCGGGCTGCGCCGCTGGGCGTCGCGGGCGCGCAGGGCACGGCTGCGAGGGCCCCGGCGAGGAAACATGTGCTGCGCAGCCTGCACATGCCGGGCATGATGTGGGACAAGATTGGGTTTGTCCCGCCGGGTATGTGGGCGACCAAGGGCAAGCTGCGGATGGCTTTCCTGGAAGGGGATGACAGGTTGCTGGCGCGCGACGGGGGCGCGGCCGCGTTGGAGGAGCAGGAGGTCAAAATCGCGGCTACCGAGCGCGGTATCGACTGCGCCGGTCGCGGGGATGAGGAGCTGAGGAAGTTGCTCGATGAGTGGCTGCGCCTGACGGAGGCCGAGGAGAGTGTGGAGAGGAGGAAGCGCATGACGCTTCTCTTGACGACAAGGTATGCAACTTTTGCTCTTAAACAATGCTCAAGCGTATAATTGCTAACCAACTCACTCCTGCAGGACGGAGGACTGGCCTAAGGACCGAGAGTTTGCTCTCCCCGAGTGGCATCTTTGAGTCGAATCATACACAGCGGACTTGTATAGTACCTCGCCTGGCAGACAGCACCATTGTCGTCGATATTCCTTTGTCAGAGGCTGCATTGTGGCAAGCGCCGGATTGTATACTACTACTGTATTTTACTGCGGCATAAGTAGAAGGATGGGCACTCAAAAGCATATGACGGGGCTCGGGGGTCAACATAAGAGACGAGTTGGTACGGTTGCGGATAGACAAACCACTCTCAGTTCCAGACAGCAAGTAACAAACGTCAACTATTCCTCCTTAGACGACAATTTTGCGGGCTATAGTCTCGCCATGTTCGCCGTATCAACTTGTTCTTGCAGGAGCTTTGGACAAGGAAATTTTCTATACGCTGCTAGCCGGTGATCTACATGCCCGGCTGGCTGGCCCAAGTCCAAGGATATATACGTACTAAGACTTGCCTCGCTAGTCCTCAGCGGCCAAGAGTGCACTTGCCGCCGTCCCTTTTTTCAGACAGTCGCGTCTCAATGCCTCGTCTCTCTGCATTGCGTCGAATTCGACCGCCCTGGTGTTCGCTCATATATTCTCGCCTAGACCTCATCAAAGGACGGCTTTCTCGACCGCTTAGAACTACAGGCCAATGATTCCGTGGTGAATACTACACTGCCCCTAACCAGTACGACGAGACGCCCAAGATGCTCTCGAGAACTTGGATCAAGGATGAATACCGCTGTTGTGCGCTTTCGAGATCATGCGCGATTATGTCGGGGCTCGCCACAAACAGGCGCTGGACTTGAAGCCAGCGAGACCCTATAGCTCCCAAGGATTTGGGTAGTATAATGTCTGGTGATGTAATGTGTGAAGCGCAAGTCTGCGATAGATACGCAAGAAAACAAGCTCTCTGCTATTTTATTTTTACGAACCCCAAGGTAATGGCCAGGGTTGTGAGAAGAACAAACTATCATACTATCACACAAGTAATGGACGAAGAAGTTGACTAGCTGAATGTATTGCAATAAGTCAACCGTTGAAGTACGAGATCGCCGAGGTCTATCAGCTTAACAAATTGCGTTCGACACGGAGAGGCAAGGTCCAACGTTTAGTTGAAAAGTTGTTGACTAGCCTTGACTCTTGAAGTTGAAAATTGACAGTTTCCCATAAATCCTATTACAGGCTATCCTGTGTTGATAAATTAAGATGACTCAAGTGTAGCTACGCAATTTTGAAGTCACTAGGAGGGTTGGCTCCCCACAACTCTCTCGTGGACGATAGTCCAAGGTTGCTATCGAAGGATGTCAGAAGCCTTCCAGCCCTAGAGTAAAGACGTGAGTACATCCTCACTTCCGGCCCAGAAACTATCCCAACCGACACCACGGTACTATAATTGCCCGAGAATTTGCGATGCGGATACTTTAGACATAAATAGATAGGACGAATGATGACCTCGCAGGAGCCTCCGCATGGGTGTGAGGCATATTTCAACGTTGATCAAAATTGGAAGGTAATCTCGTTCTTTCATGGGCTGCTTCCATGCCCCAAGATCAGTCCAAAAGCCGTAGGTGTTGTCGACCGATTGACCACTCAAGATAAGGTAGCCAAGAGACATTCAGAAGCCATGATCACGACCAGGGCAACTGTCACAAGTCAGCGCAAACGAGCGAACAACTCTGATTGGATCAAAGCATGCACCAAATTCAATATTGTAACCTCATGAAAATCCCATAACGTGGTTCAAGTGTTCTCCAAGCCACCAGTCGTTTCCTGCACGATTTGACGAACCCATCTAATCCGCCAAGACCTCTCCAAGCAGTCAAAAAAGCTCTCAACTAAGCTTTCCCTCCCTCCCCATAACCATTTCTTAAAATAGACCTCTACCTTGTGCCTTTGTCGGACTAGGCAAGTAATCAAGAACCATCACCGCCTTTCTCTCTCCATCTATCTCTATGTTTCCCACAGCTCCTGGCTCTGCTCGTCGGCAGTCTTGCAGAAAGGTGTTGATCGAAAAGGAACGACCCCCCTGTCGACGAAATTCTGGTGCCTAGAGCCTAACTGCAAAAGAAGCAACCTAAACCCGCAAAGCTAGTATGCCCGTACCCGCTCCGAATTGGCTATTAGACCTGCATGTAATAGGCTAGTGAGACTACCGCAGTAAAACTAGCTCAGCAATACTAGTCAGGGGGGGTTGTTTGGAAAAGAAGTCGGGTCCTGATTCACCAAGCATCTCACATCAGCCCCAAAATTCTTAGTTTTCTGATGTGCTTCTTCTTTCTATGGGACGAACCCCATCTCGCACCCGTGTGTGTGAGGTGGGGCCGTTGCAGCCCACGATCTGGGCTGCTGGGCCCCCTTGCCGCAGATTTGCGGTAATGAGCGTGGTTTGGGCGATTATTCATACACATGCAGGAAAGAAATA